CGACATTTAGCCGGGAGCGATGCCCGGAGCAGCTCTAGGTCAGGGACTTCTCACTTGTCTGCTCTGCTGCAATCTGGTGATAGGTTTGTGGCTGTGGGTTTGGGGGGGGAGCCACTTCTTGACGTGTAGAAAAGCAGAAGTGCTCATGTTAGTTGCAAAATAGAGATCTCTCTTGGGCTGTTGCTGCTACAGGGAGGTCTACTTGTCCTCCATCCTGGGCTCTGCTCCCTACAGGGTCCCAGCCCTATGGTGCAGTGAAGAAGGATGTCACGTGCTCTCCCACATCACCCTGCCTCAGTGCTTACTGGCCACAGCAGGTCCATGTGTGCAGTGCCTCCAGTCTCCAGTGTCTGTCAGCACAGATGCATTGGTTGACCGTCTTCTGGGATACCTACAGCCCCATGCTGCAGGGTAGTGTGCAATAAGGAATGAGGAGCAATAAGGAATGAAATTCTGCCAGGGAAATCCTATGTGTGGCAGAACCTCAGGACAAAGGTGGAGAGAAGGGTGAACCAAGAAAATTGGATGAAAGACCCTTGAGTTTGTGGTTTCTTTAAGCTAATGTCACCGGCAAAGAACAGTGAGGAAACTAAAGATCAACACCAGGTTGTGTGAAGATGGACCCTGCTCCACATCCTGACCACAGGACAACAACCAGGTATCAAGGGTACGTTCTAAGAGAACACATGAAGGGAAGAGCATTAGGCTGGATTTACCTATGAGTGACTAATAAATACACAATGTGGTCATGCTACACCTTGAGTCTGCACTTTTTTATAGTCTCCCTTAAGTTAGTCACCATGGAAAGAGTCCTCAGCCACAAGGCAACATGCAGCAGCCTTTCTTGGAGGCAATACAGCAGATGGGCGCCTGGCTCATTGTGACTTGGGTGACACAATGGGGACACCCACAAAGGGACCAAGTAGGCTTGGTGAGAGGCGGTGCAGGAAAAGGGGCATTAATATGTGGGACTAGAGGAGAGGATGAACCAGCACCATTTGCAGAAGCTCACAGGAGTGCAAGGCAAAGTGGTGCATGCGGTGGCTCTGCAGGAAAGGCAGCTGTCCCCAGCTGGTCTGGATCCTGCACCCTTCCTGCACCTGCTCTCCTGCTTGCTGCAGGCAACAGGCTTCCTCTGCTCTTCATGGTCCCTACACTATTGGCCACCAGGATGAGGGCCAGGCTGTGACCCACTGTATACAGTGGGAGGGACGACTGGGGGTGCCTCTGCGAGAGTCACGTGCTGCCGACATGACCCAGATGGCCAGTATCAAACCAATGGCAGCACCCAGCACTGAGCAGGGCTTTCAGGCTCACACATCATCCCACCAAGAAGTGAAGCAAGTGCGTTCACTGCGACCTTCATGGACTGCATGGGCACCAGGATAGGAACTGCTGCGCAGCCCAAGCCCTCTGTTGGGACAGGGAGGCAGAGGACCTGCAGAGATGCACTTCTCGGCTGCCTTCCCTGGGAACATGAACCCTCTGGCAGTGGATGTCACAGCTCTGCGGTGACAGCACTGCCACCCCTCCAGCGTCCTCCCCCAAAGACAGCCACAGCATCCACAAGCCAGAGTTTATTGCCACCGTGCATGGATCTGGGCTGCGGGGGGAGAAGAGCTCTGCATTACAGAGACTGCGGTCTGGGATGCCAAGTCAGGCGAGGCAGCATGTGACAGCAGTGGTGGTGTCCCTCTGCAACCACAGGGGCCAGGCTGGAGGTGCATGCTGGGGACCAGGTCACCAGGGTTTCACGCAGGTGTAGGTGGTGTTTCCCCAGAGAAAGGCGAGGGGTGAGGACGGCACCCGCTGCAGCGTCAGAGCACGCTTCTCGCACACCCAGCCACGGGCTTCCCCACACAGGCCGCTCGACAGCCCCGAGCCGGACACCCTCCCACAGGCCAGGAAAGAGCTGGTGAAACGCTGGACTGGGAAGAGCCTGCATGGAGAGAGTGGGGAAAGGCAGGTTGGGGGTGAGACAGGATGGGAGTGAGGAGGGATGCAGGTGAGGAGGCGTGTGAGCAGGCAGAGCAGCTCCTCCTCCGCCAAGGGACTGGAGACTGTGCAGAGACACCACGGGAGCAAAGCTAACCCCCATGACGGAGCAGCACCCCGCTGCCATCGTTCCATGATCAAGGTACCATCCCGATGTCTTCCCACCCTACTCCTGCCCATCCTGCATGCAGCACCCTGGGCCCATCCTGACAGGGCTCAGCATCAGATGCACCTAGGAGAGCTCTCAGGGCCCCAAGCTTGGGGACATCCTCTTGCTTGTCCCCAGAGCATGAACGCTGGCCTCTTCCCTCCCCTAAAATATCCTGTGCAGCCCCGGGGAGGGGGTTGGTGGCCAATGCAGGAGGCATATCCCTGCTTGCCTGCGCAATCCCTGTCCCCCAGTCACCTCCCAGGGCCCAGGGATGGCATGGGACACTGAGCAGCCCTGGCTGGGGGGTAACCTCACCCCTTCAGTGTGGTGCCATCCAGCCACTTCCAGTCAGCTCGGAGGCCGTCACGTTTGAGCCCCACGTAGAACACATCCACACCGGACACACGCGCCAGGAACGCCTGCCACACAAGAAGGTGAGCGTGAGCATCCCAAAGGGCCAACCTGCTGTTGCTAGCATGGGGACATGCACGGCACAGCCATACCAAGGGCTCAGACAACTGCATGCCAGGACACGTGAACAAGCGCGTGTGCCCTCTTGGAGGGGTGGTCGTGCTGCACATGGGAAGCCACAGCAGCCAGGCAGGACGTCTGGAGCCGCGTAGAGCTGGGGGTCAGCAGGGTGCACTCACCAAGGTGCTGTTGTCTCGGATGGTGGCCAGATGCGCCTCTCTGGAGCAGCAGTCCTCTTTGCTCTGCTCCCAGGTCTTTTTGGCAGAGGAGAAGTAGTAGCACTGCCCTGCGTCCCACAGCCAGCCGGCGGGGCAGAACTGGCATCGTCCTGCACACCAGAAACGCAGCCTGCTCACAGCTTCAGGAACAGCCAGGACAGGAGAGCCCCCAGGGGCACCCACCAGCCCGGACATGGTGCTGATGCAGCAGGGAGTCGTGGCCTGCTCCTGCTGCTGCCCCACGGAGAGCACCCTACACTTGTGTCTTCCTCAGCTCCTTAATCCCATCTCCATCCCAGTGGGACTCTGCTGGCAGCCCAAGGGAAGTGGGTTAGTTACATGAAGAGACTGGCACAGAGAGGTGGGTCAGGGGAAGGAGGTTCAGGTTCAGTGGAGCAATACAAGGGTCCCCTACATCTGCAAAGTGCTGGAACTACAATCAGGATTTCAATTTTCCCAGGGCCAGTCTAAGGACAGCATCTGACACTGTCTGGCTCACAGATGCTCACAGCAGCAATTACCCTGCAACTTGCCTGCCGCTGGTGATGTGTCAAGGCAAAGCTGAGCAGCCCTGAGTATCTCCGAGGCAGCTCTCCAGGCCATGGGCAAGGATGGAGGGCCTCAGGCTGGGGACATGGTCTGGAGAGAGCCCCTGTCTCCAGCAGGGAGTAGGACCAGATCCAGCCCCTTGCAAGGGCTTGCCAGATCCCCTTCAAACTTTGCCCAAAAGCCCACTGTATTCTCCTACCTTGCAGAGTCTGTTGCCCATAGTTGAGGGTCTCCTCTGTGCTCCAGGGATCATAGGTGCAGCCTGACAGTTGCCCTAGAAGTACAGAGCAGGAGCACAGGAGTGTGCCTGCAGGCCCCATCCTGGGCTTTTGCTGCCAGCAGCACCCAGGGCTCACTCACTCCCATGACCGGGAACCCTCTGGAGCCATGACCAGCCTGCAGCAAAAGGCTTGCCCCACTTTAGGGTAGCGAAACCTCCTGATGCCCTTGTAGCTCCCAGTGCGCTTCTGTGCCCATCACATGACAGACTTTCGCAGAAAGTGCTTCTTTCTCCCAGTTTCAGTCTCATGCTCTCTGGTCTGTCTTCACCTCCTTGCCAGGTGACAAGCGGGATGCCCCAGGGCCCTTCCTGAGCCCACGCTTTCCTCCCTGCTTTCACTCACCCTGCTTTCACTCACCCACTGGGATCTGCTCCTCCCCTCACCAATCCCACTCCTTGCCCCGGAGCCCTGAAGCTTGCATCCCCCTCAGCTCCAAAGAGGAAGTCCCAGCTCTGCATGCCGTGCTCAGAGGGGCAGGCTCAGGCTCTCCCCCGGCGGTGACGGGACATAAGCAAAGCAGTGACTCACAGTGAAACCTCAAGCCAACGAGGACGGTCTGCGCCAGCAGGAGCAGCAGGCAAAGAAGAGCCAGGCTGAGGGCTGCACAGCGCCAGGGCAGCTGCTTCATCTGCGGAGGAGCTGATGAAGGGAGAGATAACCTGGATGCCCAGGACTCTGTGGGAGTGCAACACGGACCCAGGAGGGCACCTAGGGAGCCTGTGTCTCTGCAGGCATCGGTGTCCTCCAGACCACCTCCCCCGGGAGCTTTTTGGCAGCGGTGCCAGAGCAGATCTCAGCACAGAGCAGGGTGGGAGCACTGCTGGGGGGAAAGGGCCCTGCAAAGACGAATGAGCTGCAGAAGGGCAAGGGGAAGTGGCAGGACAGCAGGGGCGGCAACGGCGGCGAGAGGGACAGGGGATTGCCGTTACCTGGTGTGGAAGGGAAGTGCAGGTCAGCGTACATGACCCTCTCTTCCATCTCTCGGGCTCTTGTGGTGCACTGCATCAGCGAGGCAGCACAGACCTCCCTGCCCCCTCCAGTAGCTGGGAGTTACACGAAATGAAAAGTGTCGTTTCCTGCTAGCATGCCCAGAGACGCCCCCAAGGCCACAGCCTGGGCGAGCCCCGGGCAAGGCCAGGACCCAGGGGTTCCCAGCGTGAGGGAACCCAGCAGAGCTGCTGGCACAGCCCTCACCACTCTGCCACCGTATAGGTCGGGCCTCATGTAGGCTCCCCCTACCAGCCAAGTTCCCAGTTTCGTGGGGCATCAAACAGCGCCGCTCTGCTCCTCCTTGACCTCCTTGCTGGCCCATGGCACGTCGGAAGCTGTGGGCTGCCACGTCCTGGCTCTTCATGTGCTCTGCTTTTTTGGTCTGTTGCCAGGGACTGGGGGGCTCTGTGTTACCCTAAGGAGCAGGGCCCATCCTTGCCCCCAGATTCGGCATGCTCTGAAGCAGTGAGGCAGCAGCGGCACTTGCACAGATACGGTTTCTGCTGCCTTTTTTGCATCGGGCTGCAGCTGCAGGAGCTCTGGAAAGCCTGTGGCAGCCTGTTCCTTCCCCAAAATACCTGTGGGCTACTCTGCTCTCACTCCCCCTGTACCCTGCTTGTGCCTGGGGGGGGCCTCCCGAGTCCCCCCTCCTCCCCCGGGGATGGGCTGTGCCACGGGGCTCCGCACGGCAGGGCCAAGGCCCAGGCAGTGGAGCGGGACAGGGGCAGCAGCGCCCGGGACTACGTTTCCCAGCGGCTCCCGCCGGGTCTGCACATGCTCCGTGCGCCGGGTGCCCCTCCCGGCGCGGCGCGGCGGCTC